GATCTGTGATGAATGATCCAGATGGAATGTCTTCTATGGCTTGGCAAGACAGAAATCCTTTAGAAATCTCAGCAACTGCTATACTCTTTGACTGCATCTTAATCTGATGAAAACAAACAAAACTAAAAAATTACTTACATTACTACACTGTCCACTAAATAAATGTAGTTGAGATTCCAATAACGCCAGTTACTCGTGTGCAAAAAACAGTGAAATACTTTCAGGCAACAGACCACATGTGTGATATACATGTATTAGATTTTGCAGCAACAAAGAAAATGATAGTCTCCCTCGCAGCCATTTTTTCGATGTCACGCAATGTTCTGTTTTAGGGGAATGTTGCATGACATTCAAAAAACGGCTACATGGGAGACTAACAAAATGAGTGATATCACATGATTTTGGAACAAGGAAGAAGTTCACATGGCTTTAACATGAAAGTGAGACAAGTAGCTTTATTCCTTGAAAATGAGGTAAATTTGGAGACAGAAAAATGGCCCCTCATGTTTTTACACCCATATAACAAAATTTGAGTCCCAAACCAGACTTTGTTAAGGACTGTTTATTGGGACAAAGATATAACAATGACACTGTAAGCACCAAACATAATCAAGCAAAAGTCACTTCCTCTGTGTCACTTTCACACTCATCTCTTCCTTGTTAAACTATCACTGTTAATGCAATATTGCCCAGAATTAAATTATACTGTTGGTATTATACATAAAACATGATCTTTTCTTAAATCTTCTCTATGATAAGCTATAATGCATGTGTGCCACTTTTGAAAATAGGGGCCACCTGCAAGGGATAGGGGTGTGAAATCAGGGTTTTTTCATTCATAGAAATTTCCCATGCTTGCATATTTAGGATAGGATAATTTAGAGCTTTCTTTTGCAGAATAGGGTATAGTTTGAGCGTACCAGTGTCCCAGCTACACGATCTAGTGCAATGATAGTGCAATAGTTATGAAGCTTTTAATTAATTTGTTGTAGATGTTCTTGCTTGCTTTTTCTTGACACGCACAACATTCAAATAACATGATTTCTGGTCATTCTGATCTACCTGGTTAGAAGAAGTGTCCAATTTATTCACAGTCACAATTTGCGAACTTAAATTAAAATGTAAATGTTGAGCACTGTCAGGGACTCTCAACAAAAACTACATTCTAAAGGTGCCCTTGTTTTCATCTTTTATCTTTGCCTTGTTAACCACTCTCCTCCACTACTGCTAAGGTTGGCAAACCACCTTGCCCATATAAGGGAATCCAAAACAGTCCCAGATTCTGGACTCCACACTCTGGATTCCGGATTCTTTGTTTCCCCATTCTAATTGTTTGTGGTTCCACGGTCCTTGGTTCCAAAAGCAAATATTTCACGGATTCTGGATTCCAAAGGGAAAAAATTTCCTTGATCCTGGAGTCCGGATTCCCTTGCATGGGTCAAACACCCAAAATTTGAAACTTGGCCCCAGATCTCACCAGCTCTGTGACTGACAGAAAATAAGTACAAACTTTGCCATCTCCTTTTTCACGCACACATTTTTCGGGCTACGAATTTGTGACTATCAGGTTTATATCATCAAATGGACTTTGGTGTCTAGGATGGAGTAGAGGCTTCCCAGCCCCTTTAATACAAATCAAAGTGGGCATCCTCATTGAGAACATGCATTAATTTATGTCTCGAGAGACATAACTGGGCATAACTCTCAGGGATGTGGCAAGGGGAGGGGCTGAGGGAGCCCATGCCCCCTCCCCCCCCCCCCAGTTTTTTGTCCCAAAAAGTCAAAACATGCATGCATTAAAAGTTGAAAACAATCATGTCTCTGCAGCTAGGTGAAACAGTTTCTGGTTTTAAGATACAGAGACCAGTCCAATAGGTCCTCCGGACTCAAAACCCTATGCCTTTCATGAGCTACCTAAAAGTTACCCCTAGTTTCTAAAGGCTTGCTAAGGCCCTGGAGTAACTCTCAAGCATTTTGCATCTTAAAATTGATCGAGCGTATGATTTTTCGTTGAACAACTGACTGCCTGACTGTAGGAGAGGTTTCTTTTATAATATTATTCTTTTACAAGTCACGACGATCACAGTAAGTCACTGTTTTATTGATTGGTAACAAAATAGTTTCCCCGCGATCAAACACAACATTTTGGATAGGGACTACGGCTAGGAGACACTTCTGGTCTTGTTTAGTTGTCTATAGCTCAGATGAGTGACCTGTATTCTACGCTGTGGAATGAATGTGACCAAAAATACCTACCGCTGACTGTCGTATCACTGCCGGCAGATCAGATGAATATTCCCACGTGTTACGTCTTTAGGTGCGGGAAATTGTCTTGTCCAGCTCTCGTTTACTTCCGACACATGTAATAAGGAACAGCGAATTTTTCTGCGGCTTATGCGGTTGAAAGACGAAAATTGTAAGAAAATTAGTGATAAATCTAACCTCGAACTGTTCACCAAACTGTTGATATTAGAAATTGCGCTGTTCAATATGGCAGCCGTGGCATAAGTGATATCCAATTCAGTAACACAGGTCTACCAAGCTCGGAATTTGAGCTTTTACGTGAAGCCGCCAACTCAGAGAAAAAATCCCTGGACCAAAAATTAACCCGCCCCCATCCTAAATTTCCAAGCATTAAAATTTCCAGAAAGCATTAAAGGATATATAGTTAAACCCCGCTTTACTGACACCCGATTAATACGGACACGACAGTTTGCTTTGTCCCCAGGGAAAGAAAGCCCTGCTTACATTTTTTTCTAAATTCAACACCATACATCCTACTTCGAATCAGTCAAGAGATAGTAGTGTCATAGTTAACAGTAAACGACAAGTAAAAGGAAAATTTAGTCACGTGGTACAAATTGACCTTTGTTGTTTGCCGTAAACGTTGCGAAAACGTTACACTCTAAATCCCTTTTTTAATTATCTCCAGCGCAGTCCGCAGGCCAAAAGGAAGTGGCCTCGTTTACGCCCGTTACGTTTACACGAACTTGTTTGGGCTTCTTCGCGACTTTCATCAGCGGAAATGTAAAATGTATGGCATGTCCAATCTTTATGCAGCGCAGGGTTCCATAGAGTACACGTCGCAAAAACTTTAATAGTCACATAAATCTCTATGCCTTTGTCACGCAAAAACTACCCTGTAGCCTCAATAGTTAACAAACGCAAAAAATTGCTGAACAATTAGCGCTCGCAGCTTTTCAGCTACACAATCATTAATGTACGCTGTTATTCCCTATTGTGAACGATGATGTAAACCAGATCCTCAGTTAAGTATCAAAACCTTCATTTAGTGAAAAACTTTAGGAATAATTTTTAATTATTATTATTTCGCACAAAGAGTGGGGGGGAGGGCAAGGCTCCCCTGGTCCTACCCCTGCGTGGGCCCTATGAATGCAAATCAACTCAAGTAATAGGCCATTTCCGAGTTCCCCCGGGCCTATCGGGCCTATGTATAAGCTGAGCACTTAAATCGATGTACTGCACTTGTGGGAATTCAACACACGACATCGCAGAGATGAGTTAATCATAATTTTTAATTTTTATGCATTATCTAGCTGCCTGAGACAATGACTGTAGCAGATTCCGAGGTAGAATAAAATGTTTCATCTGTTGATTAATTGCTAACAAATCCCAGCCCAAGCTTCATTCAAGAGACACCTTTATTCAAGGGACACTTGCCTTGGTGCCGAGGCGCCCCCTTGAACAGAGGTTCCATTGTAGGTAAAAAAAGTCATTTGTTTGGTCAAACATCCTGTGTCAAGAAAATTATATATTTCCGTCGTAAATTGTCAAGATCTTCAGCTCAGCAGGGAGAAGCGGAAGGCTGGACCATAAGCTCAACCATTGACATTTTCAGAAATGAAATCCCCATGTTTCAATTCGGAGGTTCAAAATACACTAGACTGCAAAAATGACATTTATTACCAAGGGGAATAAATTATTTTATGCAGCCTGCGCGGCGTTTTTTAGTATCCCGGATGGGTACATCCGGGACTTACAATGGTAGATACTTAAACATCCGAACATGTGATTTCAGGCCTCTTTCAGTTCAGCTTCGGTGCAGGGCAAACATAATGGTGTCCGTTCAGTTCTCCCAGCAAACCGAGCTCACCCCTAGCAATGCACATTGTACAGCACATGGTTTATTGGCAAGCGAGCAAGGGGCATAAAAGTCTCTTTTTTCAAGATCGGTTCTTCAAGGGAGGCGTCGGCGTGAGATTCTCGCGCGAAATGAACGAGCGTATTTTTCAGGTCTCTCCTCGAAGTCTCATTCTCCGCTTTCACTCAGTTGCTCCCGGTCTTTTGTCTGGCCTGCTCGAGCGTTCTTGACCTTTGTACAAATACGGGCTCTTTTGCAGTCTGAAATACACTGAAGTAGTAAACATAGTACTATAGCGAGTTAAAGTTTAAAGGCTTCTTTACAGTGGAAAGTGCACTTAGCTTATCCATGCAGCTAGTTTACTGGCACTGCACTCAAATACTTAGAAACAAATAATTCAAATACAACATAACAGGATTAAAAAAACAACTGGCGGGAGGCAACCAGGTGGCTATTTACAAGCGTGGCCGAGAATTTGAACTCGAAAAGACCGGGAACAAATCCAGCAAGTGGTCAGAGCGCCGAGACTCGAACCCGCGGGACCGCCGGATTGGGAGTCCGACGCGCTGACCACTCGGCCACGCTGCCTTCATGGCGTCAAAATTATAATGCAGTAAAAAAGATTAAAAGGCTTGGCCATGAGAAAACAGTACAGTGTTTAAATTTTGAAACTTAATTAAACCTTGCTTAATACAACATTTTTAAGTTGTACTTGCTCTATCCCCTCTCGCTCAACCTTCAGCCCAAGTCCGTCGAGTGACTTGGAGAGGTCGAAGTTATTTCCACGCACTACGCATGCCTTGAAAACACAGCTTACCGATCGCTTCAGAGCCCGCCTGTAGCTTTTGTCAAAGACAAGCAGGAGCGAGAAGGCGGAAGATTGGATAAAAATCAGCCACTACATGACAGCGTGTAATTGGTGAGGATAGTTTGCTGAAAACAGTTGCATCGTGACTGAGACATAAAGAGGCAACCAGCAAAACACGGTCAAGCAGCACCTCAGTGTCAGCAGCCGTGAGAGGCTCACACGCTGTTGGAGGGCAGTGAACTGAGGCAGGAATCGGGGACTATGGAAAACTTTCCTTGGATAAAACAGGGCCTGCACTTTGGGATGGATCCTTGAGGAGATGACAAATGGATCCCGATAAGAGGTTGCTATCGACAACTGGATAGATGGCGAACTCGACTGGGAGTCTTTTCTAGACGAATTATCAACAGAGGTGGGTGAAGTGTCTTTTACGTTTGCGTCCTCCGAAGCATTGCGATCTAGTCGGACGTTGCGGAGGATAATTTCCAACAGACTGTTGTCAAACGGCCTTAGCTGCTGAATAGAATTCCTCCTTGACGCTATAGGACTCTCAGTGGTGTTGTGAGACAAAATCGTTCCAGATCGTGATCGAACACTTGAACGTCTTGACTGGATTCTGGACTGAATTCTTGAATGAATTGACTTCCTCCGCGATCGAGACCACGACGTGTTAGATGAAGCTGTAGTTGTCAATTCTGGGTCGTTGATTTTCGTCTCGAGTTGATGCCTTTCCCAGAAGATCTGAAGTGGGTACAATCGACGATGTTTTCTGACGCGAAAACCGAGAATAATCGTGACTAACAGGGCAACAAAGGAAAAAACGAGCAAAAAGAGCGAATAATTGGAGATCAGATGGGAGTCTTTCGCTTGAGCACAAGAGTGTAAAAAGGGGAGCCCTTGATGAGAAGTCCAGTTTAGAAGAGGAATGACTGCTATAAGCAATGCTACTAACAGACACACAGCAAGAAATGCGACTTGTTTCCTATTGGCACGGCGTTTCTCGGCAGGACGAATATAATGCTTCAATGTTTGGCAAAACACAGCCAGAGCGAAAAGAACCAGAAAGCTAGTGATCAGCTGCCAGGTACTTAGAAAGTTGAGGGTGTGACAGAGTGCCTTTTTATGTACCAGCCATGTTGGGCCTAAAACAAGAATCACGAGCATGACCCCGGGTCCAAGTAACGTAGCTGTAAAGTCGAGTGCAGCCAGCAAAGTGATGTGAGGACATCTTAGGTTGGTACGATAGGAAATAAACGGTATGACAAGATTTCCGCACACACCAACTAACACGAGTGTAATGGTCACTACAAGCTGAATGATACTGGGTACCACAAACATCTCTGGTTGAGAGAAGTTACGTGGCAGCTGCTTAGCGGAGTTTTCAGTCATAAGCTGTTTTAGGCTGGTTATGATCTACCCTGATGAAAGAGCAGAAAGTTGCGTTAGTTCTGGGCAAAATCAATATGGCTCCAAAAGAGTGTTAAAAATGCAAAAAGTTTGCAAAAAGCAAAAGCCCATCAGCTGTAGATCAAGACCTTGTAGTAAGCGAGCGATGGGGTCTTTTCAGCGCTTCAGCCCTGTGGGCCTTAGTTTTCGTCCTGCCCATTATAGCAGGATACGCCATTACCCCAAGTATCTCAGCAAATATTGTCCCTTTTGACCCTCGCACACAGGGGCGGATCTAGGGGGAGGGTGCAGGGGGTGCGCACCCCCCCCCCCCTTCGGGATTACCTGCGGTTCTCTAATACAACCGGTTTTCTGCAAAAAAAAAACTAAGTGGTTTATTGGGGTTGAAGGAGAGCAAGAGACAAGTGCACCCCCCCCTAAAAAAAAAACTGAAACCGCCCCGGGAAAATGGTAATTTAATTTTAATTTTCTGTTAACTAAATAAAAATAACTTTCATCAGCGGAAATGTAAAATGTATGGCATGTCCAATCTTTATGCAGCGCAGGGTTCCATAGAGTACACGTCGCAAAAACTTTAATAGTCACATAAATCTCTATGCCTTTGTCACGCAAAAACTACCCAAGAAATCCCCTGTAGCAGTAGCAATAGTTAACAAACGCAGCGCTCGCATCTTTTCAGCTACAGATTCATTAATGTACGCTGTTATTCCCTGTTGTGAACGATAATGTAAACCAGATTCTCAAACAAGTATCAAAACCTTTATTTAGTGAAAAACTTTAGGAATAATTTTTAATTATTATTATTTCGCACAAAGAGGTGGGGGGGAGGGCAAGGCTCCCTTGGTCCTACCCCTGCGTGGGCCCTGTGACTGCAAATCAACTCAAGTAATAGGCCATTTCCGAGTTCCCCCGGGCCTATCGGGCCTATGTATAAGCTGAGCACTTAAAAGTGCTCAGCCTTTGATATGGAAATGATTTTTCATTCTCATGCAAATAAAACTCATTTTCACAAGAAAGGAGTGTGCGCTTGGCCTCATTTTGAAAGTGGAACTCGGAAGTGGCCTATTAATTTTTGCTTAGTCAAAAGCCCAGGTTCTATATATTAAAATTCTAACATGACTCCAAGGCTTTAGGCTCAATTTGCAAATTTTTCACGACTTCATTGTCTTGCAATTCCCAGAAGAGACTTGAGCACAGAAAAAACCAAACCAAATATAGAAAAATGACCTGAAAGCCTCGGCATGTTAGAATTTTAATGTATCGAACGTGCGCTATTTATGGACCGAAAAGAGACTGCAATTTTCGTGATTACGCGCGGTGGTTAAAGATAAATAATCCTTTTCAAAATTGCTTGAAAAAGTTATTCCTTACCTGGAGGAGGAAGGTCCGAAGAGAAATTGGAACTAATCGAAATGTGATTTACCGCACATTCGTAAAACAAAGTCAAAAGAGTCGGTAAAACGTTTTGTAAAGCCTAAGGTAGATAATACAATTTGCTTTACGTTAACGTTTTTTAAACTACAGAATCGTTGTTCGCTTGCATCTTTATTTCCTTGCACAAACAAGATAATTACTTTTCCTGGGTGTAATTAATTAATTAAACATACAAGGGGTTAAATACAGTAGAACCTCCCCTAGGACACCTCCATTTCAGGGGATACGAAATTTGGTCTGTGAAAAATGTCCACATGATCTTTGTATTTGTTACCTCTATTGAAGGGACACCTTTATTCAGGGGAAAGGGACACTTAATCGTGGGTTTCACCTCCATTCAGGGGACACCTTAGCACGGAAAAAGTGACTGACCACAACGATCATTGATAGTTTTAAGTGTAAACTACTCACAATGGCGACAGCTTTCATAACATGCACTATTTCACTTAAATCGATGTACTGCACTTGTGGGAATTCAACACACAACATCGCAGAGATGAGTTAATCATAATTTTTAATTGTTATGCATTATCTAGCTGCTTGAGACAATGACTGTAGCAGATTCCGAGGTAGAATAAAATGTTTCATCTGTTGATTAATTACTAACAAATCCCAGCCCAAGCTTCATTCAAAAGATAGCCTGAGTATCAGGCGTTTCTGGGGAAAAGGGGAAGGATGGAAGCGAAAAAAGGAGAGAGCTGACCCCCCCCCCCCCCCCCCCCCC